ACATTTACCCACGTTTTTTTTTTTTTAAATTGAATTGTGTTTTCACACTTTTATGTTGCTTCATAGACTTATCAACATCCTAATCATATATTCGCATCCTAATATTGAAAAATTAGTTGGTTTAAGTTGCTTAATTTAAAAAAAAAACAAAAGCACTTCAAATTTTGCAGCAATTTATGCAACAAATAGGGTACACAAGTTACGAAAAAGACCCATTCGCGTTGCCATCTTCCCTTATTATTTTTCCTTAATTTTTCATGATTGCAGCAATTGTTTCTACAGAAAAATGCTTTCCTTAAGAATTCATCCCGGATATTCATGTTTGTATTGTATTGTGGACTTTTATCTAGTTTTTGACCCCTTTTTAATTTATTTGAAACAGTTTTTGCATTAAATTCGCTGACGCAACACTTCTATTGTTTAGCTGACAATCAAAATCCGTTCCCTATGCTAATTTTCGGTCTTTTTTAATTCGATACCAATTTTCTTTGCATGTAATTTGATTAGCCCCCATATACACGGTGAGTTGTTTTATGTTTTACCCTGGCGAATTTGTAATTAGGTCACGTAGCGGTTGGCCCGAGGATGATCAGTCTTTTTAATTCATACATTTTGTTCATTACTTTTTGGTTTGTTTGTTTTTTTTTCTCCCAATACTCATGATAATTTATCTTTGTCCAATTGGCAAGTGTTGAAGTCTTGATTTCAAACACAATCTATATAGATCAGTAAACCTGTCAGACAGGCAATCTAAGCAAATGCCCTGTTTTGCCAAAAAAAGAAAAAAAATCTACAAATCATTCATAGCAAAAGTAATTTAAAAATAAATCGATTATTGCCCAATAAAGGCAATCAAACAACAAAATGTTCACAACTCACTAATCTATCATTACAGCCCCAAGACAATACCACCCGGCCCATTGTTGACTTGATATTTTAGATATTTGCCCAGAGTGTGACAAGAGATAAACTCAATTACCAATTATTTATGGTGTCGAATAACGCCCAGGTTTTATTTTTTGCTCTCTATTAATTACCCTCAGCTATTGTTTTGGAGTTGTCGACAGCAGCCACAATAACAATAGTTTTAAAAATTTCATTCAAAATGCAAAGCAATTGTCTATTGAAATATTGATATTGTCTATTGACGGCTATTGTTTTGTTTTCTTCTCACCATTGGCTACTACTTGGTACTCCACTCTATTTGTTCTCCCTCTCTCTTTCTCTGACGCTCATGCACTTGAAAATTATGTCAAGTCATTCGGAAGTGTTATACAAATCAGTTATTGGAGACAAACGCGATTGGTATCTAAGGTTAACGAGGGGGGATAATTTATGAATGTGGGAAATGCACGAAATATGGAAAACATTCTTAAATATATAAATAAAAAAACATACCCAGACCTATCCAAAAAAATGAAATGTATAAAAAATAAACGATTTTAAAGAAGAAAAATCAAAATAAAAATCGAATTACGATATTCTCAATTTAAATTATCTCAATAATTTAAATTATGCAGTCTTTAATTATAATTTGCGAGTATGGCAACGCTGATGAGTGTTTTTCATACCTTGTGTATCCTATTTAACAGTAATGGGTCTTTTTCGTACCTTGTGTGCCCTGTTTGGCGTGCAAATTTTAAGTCCTTTTGTTATTTTTTATAACATTGAAATATATAACAAATCTACGACTTAAAAGAAGAAAAAACAAAATAAAAATCTTATTAGGATATTCTCAATGTTTTATTATGCAGTCTTTTAAATTATTTTTACATTTTGTTTCCAAAATTGAACTAAAAAAGCGGCCGAAAAACGTTGGAGAAATTGGTCGTGCAGGATTAAATTTTCAAACGTCTATATTGCTCCATAGACTTACCAACACCCGACGCATATATTGGAATCATAAAATTGAAATTAATTGGTTTAAGTTGCTTAATTTTTATACAAAATAAGAGAACTTTAGATTTGGCACCAATTTATGCATCATAGGTTACACAAGGTACGAAAAAGACGCATTCGCGTTGCCATCTTCTCTAATATTTTTTTATCTCAATTATTCATAATTGGATAATTTTTCCCTTGAGTAAAATTATATACGTTGGAATGGAATTCCACCTGGATATTCATGATGGAATGAATTTTGAATCGTGGATTTTTATTAATTTTTTGGGATTGTGTAATCTCAAAAAAATGTATTTTTAGAAAAATCACGATCTAAAACATTTTTTACGGAAATGTACATTCGTGGATTTTCGTAAATGATTTTTAAAAATCACATGTTTTTCCCCAAAATTATTACACCAGCCCCTTGCAGTTTATTTTTTGTGTCTGAGAACACTTTAAATCGACATGCAAAGCGTTGCCAATGTTTGTTTTTTTTTTTTTAAATATTTGAACTGACAATCTTTCAAACTGCCGGCAACATGACGTTTTGTCATCTGAATCTCTCTCACCTCTCTATAGACAATATCAATAAAAACAATAAAATTTACTCTCGCATCATCATTTCTGTTCAAACATCCAATGTTTGGGTTAAACGCAATGGATCTTTTACGCTTGAATTTTGTAAGCGTGTTTACGACGATATTGAAGTCCAACTAAAGCTTTATGGTCAACACAGATAACTGTGGGTTACCAGTGTTAATATAACCTTCGATCATAGCACATACACGGTTGCTGACGACGGAACTTGGAGTTGTGACGCATAAATTTACGGTCGAACGTAGTTTAGATCTGATCGTAGGCCTACGAGTGCCTGTTTTAAGATATAAAATAAAATAAATAAATAATAAAACTGATTTTTAACGAACAGAATTTCAAGTGGTTTTTGTCACTTTACAAAAAATAAAATAAATGAAAATAAATGAAATGGAAATTAAATTCTGAAATTTCAATAAATGCCCATTTTCATTCTGTGTATACCCCTCTCCGCTTCTTCTCGTTCCTTTTTTGTGTGTTCGAAAATTTCCTCCAACAACAAGTTCAACCACTTTGATTTGTTTATGTGCGAATGTCAGACGGAAAAGCTAAAAACAACAACAAAAAATCAATATTTTTTTATTGTCTCCCCTCCAACTTTGTGAATTTCAATTTCATAAATATCAGTTACAACAAAAAATAAAACATTGAAATATAAAAAAATAATAAACATCATCGCCAAGCAGGTGTTCAACAAAAACCTGTTGTCAAAATTTAAAAATCGAAAAAAAAAATAATTTCAATAATTCTTAAAACCCATCATCATCATGTTACCCAGTAATAAAAATGGCCATAACCACCTGTTCCCCGAACACCTACAGTGTCTAGAGGAACAAAAATTAGTGTCATCATCAAAAAATGGTGTCATTTTTGAAACGGAATTGAAAAATTCTGCCACCCAAGCCATGGAAAATCTGTCATTGATGGATAAAATTCATCCTTCAATGCGCACATTAAGGTATTCAATGGCTAAATAAATACCTAATTTTTTATATTTTATTTACTTTTTTCGAATCACTTGCTGTGGCCATTAGAGGTGTGCTGCTTTAACCTTCTGCTGGCTTAATTTTTTCTTCAATCAACATCATCATCACCATCATTATTGGCATTGTTGTACCTCCTCTGTTATTTTTAATGTCAATAAAATTACAATCATGATGCTTGCGTTTGGTTGCTGCTTTTTACACACCTCCAAAAATTATTGAGACATCACAACTCTACTCTTTATCATAAAATAATATGAAATAGCTATCATTTTAAGTATTTTCTGTTTTTTGTTAAAAATACTTGAAATTTAAGGAGGTTTATGTTTCACTGTATGTTTCCAACCATTCGTATACCTATTTTATTGACTTTCTACTGATTTTCGGTTTTAAGCACAAATATTAGTTCTTAAATAAAATCTGAAAGCTGCAAGAACATCTGAAATATTCAATTTGGATGCAAAATGTAGATCACAAGTCAAGGCTACCGCTATATGAAGCCAGCAGAAATCGTAGACCAATTAGAGTTCATTTTCTAGGGGATTTTATAATATTAAATAGCGTAACAGACATTTTTTCGAAAGATCATCCCTCCAACTATCACTTATTGAGGAGAAATCATTTGCGAGTATGGCAACGCTGTTGAGTCTTTTTCTTACCTTGTGAATCCTATTTTACAGCAATGGGTCTTTTTCATACCTTGTATACCCTACTTTGTGTGCAAATTAAAAGTCCTTTTGTTTTTTTTATAAGAAAAAACGAATTTAAACAAACAAATATACAATATTAGGACTCGAATACATGTGTTGGATGGTTATATGTCCTTGGAGCAACATAGAAGTATGACAACACCGTTCTGGACGGCCAATTTCACCAATGTTTCTTGATTGCTTTTTGAAATCAGTTACATTTCCGTTAATGGCTGGAGTTTTTAGGACCAACCAATGCAATATGGGTATCACGTGACTCAAAGTTTACTAATTTTTATACTTTTTAGATATCCAGCCTTCGTCCTGCGACAATTCGTCCCTTTGTAATATTCTTAAAAAAAACTATTAATCATCCCAGAGCGTCATAAAAATAATCTGATAGAAGATTAAAAATATCCATATCTACTTGTTTTTATTCCTTCCTTCAAATATGAATCATATTCTAAATACTGCAAATTATTTTGAAAAAAGTTCAGAATCACATTAAACAAATAATTTAAATACGACTTAAACACGCTTTTATATGTCACTTCACATCATTAATCATGCGTGTTTTGTATTGTTTCCTGATCTATATAAGAGTGCCGTCTCATCTCAAAATTCCGGAATTCCATGGAAGCGAAATAACTGACCTTTCTCTCGTAGTGACTAATTTTCATTGTTTAATTTCAAAATAAAAGCAATGAATGATTTAAATCTGATAATTTTCATAAAATTCTGGAACTGTTCCAACAAACAGATTTAATACCTCTGCTTTGTTTATTTAATTATTTAATTAAATTTCTTTATTTAATTTCATGTTCCTTTCTTCTTTTGTATTTCCTTGCAGGCGCACACGAAGTCTAAACGCCCCCTCACCATTTCAACAATTTGGACCATGTGGACGCATTATGAAAAATCCAGCAATGGTTATGCAAATACAGGACCCGGCCAGTCAGCGTTTGACCTGGTACAAACCACCGTTAACGGTGTTGGTAATCAAAAAGGTGCGAGACTCCACTGTAATGGCTCCTTTCGTTCAACTTGTCGAATGGTTGGTACAGGAGAAACACATGGTGGTCTGGGTTGAATCGGCAGTACTGGATGATTTGTCGCTGCAGGAGGACAAACGGTTTCAGAATATCAAAGAGAAATTAGTTACATTCAAGTGAGTTCAAATACAAATTCTCTAAATATCAAATACTCATTGAATCCTTGTTTTCCTTTTCCCGCCGCAGAGATGGCCGTGATGATCTTACCGATCGCATTGATTTCATTGTTTGCCTTGGAGGCGATGGCACACTGCTCTATGCCTCGCTACTGTTTCAACAATCTGTGCCACCCGTAATGGCTTTCCATTTGGGTTCATTGGGTTTTCTTACACCATTCCAATTTGATAATTTCCAAGAGCAGGTAACCAATGTTTTGGAGGGTCATGCTGCTCTGACGTTGCGCAGCCGTCTGCGTTGTGTCATCTATAGGAAAAGTGAAAGACGCAAGGATTCGGATTGCCAACAGAATCAAATGAATTGTAGTATCTCAGGTGATAGTGGAGTTTCGATGGATTCCTGTGGCGGCAGTGGCACACATAATGCCAGTGGCAAAAGTGGCAGCCGGGCGCCATCAACAAATATATTGGTGAGTTTTTTGAAATTCTTGATGAAATTTATTATTAAATATATCCCTTTTTTCTTTAGGTCCTCAACGAAGTGGTCATCGATCGTGGACCATCACCATATCTCAGCAACATTGATTTGTTTTTGGATGGCAAATATATCACCTCGGTCCAGGGCGATGGTTTGATTGTCAGCACCCCGACGGGCAGTACAGCTTATGCTGTGGCGGCCGGTGCCTCCATGATCCATCCATCTGTGCCCGCCATCATGGTAACACCCATTTGTCCACATTCATTAAGTTTTCGTCCTATTGTCGTACCTGCTGGTGTTGAACTTAAGGTAATTATTATTAACGCAATGATATATGGGTCCCTTGAGAAATGTTCTTTGAAAATCTATGATCGGTCCTCTATGAAGTGTTCCTTTAATGTCGACGATAAACGGGGCGTTGTTTTGAGAAATTTTCTTTGAGAAATTTTCTTTGAGAAATTTCCCTTTGAGAAACGATTTTAATAAATTAATGATCTTTGATCTGATGGTCCTTCGAAAATCTTATTCGAAATCCGCTATTTTTATTTGAGAATATCCACTAAAACTTAAAAATTTCATTTAAATCCCCATGTTCATTTATCTGATGATCATTTGAAAAATGTGAGGGTCCTTTGAAAAATGATCTAAATGTCCTTGAAAATGTTATCATGAAACACTGATCAGATGGTCCTTTGAAAAAGTTTCTATTAAAATTCACGATTATTTATCTGAAGGGCTTTTGGAAATCCATTATTAAAAATCCACGATCAAGGATCTGACGATTCTTTGATCATTTTTCCTTTAGTGCGACCCCTTGGAAAATCTAAGGATGTTGAACGTTTGGTTTTTGAACAATGTTCTATAAAAATCTGCGACTCACATTTTCTTTTAGAATCCATGAACATTGATCTGAGATCCTTGGAAAATCTAAGGATGTGCTTTGAAAAAATGCGAGTCCTTGGAAAATCTAAGGATGTTGAACGTTTTGTCTTGCACAATGTTCTATAAAAAATTTGCGATTCACATTTTCCTTTAGAATCCACGAACATTGATCTGAGGGTCCTTGGAAAATCTAGGGATGTGCTTTGAAAAATGATCTAAAGGTCTAAAGGTGAGATGGTGCTTTGGAAAAAAATCTATTAAAATCCACAATTATTCTGAAGGGCTTTTGGAAAAATTTCTATTAAAATCGACGATTATTTATCTGAAGGAAATATTATGGAAATCCATTATTAAAAATCCACTATCAATAGTCTGACGATTCTTTGAACATTTTTCCTTTAGAATCCGTGAACATTGATCTGAGGGACTTTGGAAAATCTAAGGATGTGCTTTGAAAAATTATCTAAAGGTCCTTGAAAATATTTCTTTAAATATCATTAAGCACTGATCAGATGGTCCTTTAGAAAAATTTCTATTATAATCCACGATTATTTATTTGAAGGGCTTTTGGAAAAATTTCTATTAAAATCTACGATTATTTATTTGAAGGGCTTTTGGAAAATTTTCTATTAAAATCCACGATTATTTACTTGAAGGGCTTTTGGAAAATTTTCTATTAAAATCCACGATTATTTATCTGAAGGGCTTTTGGAAATCCATCATTAAAAATCCACGATCAATGATCCGGCGATTCTTTGGACATTTTTCCTATAGAATCCATGAACATGGATCTGAGGGTTCTTGGAAAATCTAAGGATGTTGAACATTTGCTTTTTGTTTTTTTATGTCCTTTGTTTAATTATGTCCTTCATTTTGAAGAATTTTCCATGATCTCCTCCCTTTCTTATAAAACATAAAATATTAAAGGTTTAATGTTGTTATGGTCCCGTCTATCCATTCTACTTTTTATTCAATTTTTCATTTCAATACTTTCTTTCCTTTCCTTTTTCAGATTTCCGTATCACCAGATAGCCGCAACACATCATGGGTCTCGTTCGATGGTCGCAATCGTCAAGAGCTATTCCACGGTGACAGTCTGAGAGTAACAACCTCAATATATCCAGTGCCAAGTATATGTGCCCAAGACCAAATATCCGATTGGTTTGATTCCCTGGCCGAGTGTTTGCACTGGAATGTACGCAAGAAGCAAAAGTGTTTGGATGAATTGTCCGACCTGACTGCATCCGGTTCCGAAGATACACTCGATGAATTGGAAAGGGGTTCAGATTCTTTGTTAGATAGTTAAAATTCCATTTAAAAATGGAATGGTAGGTCATTCAAAAACATACCAACAACTAAGCAATATTAAAATTTCATTGGTTATGTGAAATGGAGAAAAAAAAAAACAGATAGGAAAATAAACAAAGGTCTTAAACTATAAATCGGAATGTGTTAAAAAGGCTTAACATTGTATGGAAAGCTTTCTCTGTAGGCTTGTATATTATTATTATTTTTTTTTCTGTTTTATTATTAATTTTTTTATGATTATTATTAATTTTTATTTTATTTTTTTTTATTTTTTAATATATATAGTTATAGTTATAAACAAAGCAATTGTATTATGTTTTATATGTATAGGAAAAGTTTGAAAAAAATGGATATAAACTTAGAAATGGTTAAAAACAAATTGTTGCCAATTATTATAGTTTAATTGTAATTGTTTATTCTTTACAAAATGGAAATTAAAAAAGAAAAGAAAAAATATTTTTGTAAACGATGCAAAAATAAGTTGTTTAAAAAGCTCAAATTCCCAGCAAATGGAAATGGTTTATTATGATAACTATTATTAAATATTGATTATGATTATTGTTATAAAATATAAAAACACAACATTATCGAAATATGCTTTCTAGTATAATTTATGCAATATATCCCCCCCAAAAAATGTAACTTCTGTAAATTTGTTTTCAAATCATGAAGTTTTTCCCGGTATTTGTTAAATGTTTTCCTTTTATAGTGTCTCAACGAATTCTCTTTTTGCAAAAATTAATAAATTTTCAAAATTGAAACAAGTTTTTAAAATATTTTAGAACAAATATTAAGGGTAACTAACAGAAGTTGTGCAAAACATTGGGATATTATAATTTCCATATACGATTTCTATGAAAATTAGTTTAAAAAAAGTTATTTTATTAATAGATCTTATGTTCCAATATACAATAATAGTGATTACGTTCTTCTTCCCTTATTTTTCTACAACCCAAAATTCCAAACTGGTTGCTTGTGGTGTTTTTATACTTTACCTTCTTTTGGTTCGAGGGATTTCTTGAATCTATTCAAATTTTCTTTTTTTTGGTATCATATTTCTTTCCCACCCCCTTAAACTTGGTTATTTGCAAACTGTGTTCTACTCATATATAACAAAAAGAAAATTATTTCTGAGTTGCAGTTTTGTTTACATATTTTTTTTTTAATTTAGGAATAGTCATTACTTAAACCATTAAACAAATAATAAAAAAATAAAACAAAATATTATAAAAAACAATAATTTTATATTAAATATAATGAAAACAAAAAACCATATTTCAATATTTACTTATACGTATGTAGTAGATCAACGTTTTTTATTTTCTACTAAGTTTTACAAGCGTATTTTTTTCTAAAACTGAACAAAAAAACAACATAATAAAACAAAAAATACTCCTGTTTCTAAAAAAATAAAAAAAAACTTGTTTTCTTTTATAGTATGTTTAGATAAGAGCTTATTCCCAGGTTAACCTCATTCATGAGGATTTACATGCAATGGAATTGAATGTCCGAAAAATGACTCGTGAGCTGAACATATCGCAATATTCCATTCGGCAAATATTAAAAAATGAGCTCGGGGTAAAGCCATTGAAATTCCAAAAAAGTGCAAGAACTTACACCGCAACAGAAAGAAAATGGACTCAAAGAGCTAAAGAGTTGCTTCGCTTGGCCGAAAGTGGTGAACTGCCGAATTTGGTTTTCTCCGTCTCCGATGAGAAAACATTGGTTGTCTAGCAGTTTGTAAACAAACAAAATGATCGTGGGTCAGCTGAGAATGTCCAACTTCGGTTGGCAACCAGAACTCAAGCGCCGGCCATCGTGATGGTGTGGGCCGCCATAACAGCGGATGTTCGCTCTCCGTTCTCCGTTTGAAGGCCAGAATTCGTGTCAAAGGTGACCTATTCGAACAAATCTAAACTTATTCTAAAATTTGATTCTATTTCCGACATTTTTTGCTTTCATTCAATAAAATTAAAAAAGAAATTGTAAAAATTATGACGTTTGACTTTGTTGCAGTTTTTTTTATCACCCTTTATACCTCCAAACATAGTAGAAGAATGCAGGTAGATGCATCAACGCGTGGGAACATTATTAATATGTCGAAAATTAAAAAAAAAAAAAAAAAAAAAAATAAGTAGATTTTTAAATGTTTCCTTGTACTACAACAACCGGAGGTTCTTATTTTATCCAATTTTCAAGAATTCTTACAAATATGAATTTTTCATTCAATATTTTCAATTTCAAAATTGAATCATTGTCCCAGCAGCTGTTTCGATCCGACTACCATGCCCCCAAATAACATCAATTTGGGTTTTATTTTTTTGGATTGTAGTTCCGTTCCAATTCAAATCTCCTATATTTCATGTAGAGATGTATTTTGATACAATCTGACCTATGTTGTAATCAACATTGTAATCCCTAAATATCCCCAAATAAAAACATCAATTTTTGTTTTCTTTTTCAGAGTGTAGCTCAGTTTTTTATTCACCAACAACTTGTGTGTGTTATCATCATTTTTTTTTTTTTTGAATCGATTCGTATTTAGATTGTATTTTCATATTACAATAATTATTATAATTTATGTTTTATATTTTTATTTTTGTTTCTTGTATATAAATAGTTTGGTTAGAGTTATATAAAACTCGTATAATATTAAATGTTCCATAATGGTTCATTCATTTAGGTTTCTTTATGTATGAGGATTATTAATGGGGGAGTTTGGGAAAATACACAATAATAGCTACATTTAAATTTGTATTTTTTATAAATATAATGTTGTTTTTTAAGGGGAAAATGTCATTGTTTAGCAATTTGCAAATTTTATAATTTTTGTTTTTGATTTTTATAGGTTATGTATTTTTTATTATTAAAACGTCAAAGTGGTTTCTCCCATTGTAATCATTTGTTATATATGTATTTTTGGTAATAACATTATTTTTCAATTTATTTTTAATATTTTTTAATGATAATAATATATTTTTAGTTTTTGTTATTTATGTTGTTTTTTGACTATTATGCTCAAAATGCAAAACAATTTAGATTTTTTTTTCATTTGGTTTATAAATATTTTCTACATATATGTATGTTACGTATATATTATTTTTAATATAGAAACATTTTTTTTGGTCACAAAGATGCTTATAAAATATGTTTTAAGGATACGGAAATAGTTTTGGTTTTTTGTTCGCTAATAAATCAGTGAATAGTGTGTGTTTGACCCCATACCAGCTTTTTTCTAGGTTTTTGTGCAAGTGTGCAATAAGAATAATATAGACACATAATATGATTTGTTTATTGTATTATATATAATATTAAATATTTTTTTACTAATAATATTTTATTCGTTCACTTAACTATATTGTCTAATTCACACAATAATGCTCATAAACGTTATGATTTGTTTTATGAGAATGTAATGGAGTGGCCAGGTGCTATGAGATGCCACCACAGCATTGCCATCATTAAGGTAGTTATTTACACACTCAATAATGGCAACAATTTCAAGTGGAGCCCAATAACCGCCTTGCCAACCACCAAAATGTTGTATTAAATATTATTTGTTTTTTATTATTTTAATATTAATTTTGAGAACCATTTTCAAACATTGTTTTTATCTTGAACAGTTACAAAACACCTATAAATATATGTGTTACCCTGTACATAAGCTTTTTTTTTGGAAATTTTGTGAGATATTATATAAATTTTTAATATTTATGTATATATTAATCTATGTGTGTATATATATGAGATGTCATAATAATATTAAATGATTGCATTCTTGTGGCAATTCTTGGCATATTTAAATATCATATATAATAAATTGTTTAACAAATCGTATAATAACATCAAAAATATGTGTGATTTTTTCTAGTATTTGTTTTCTATCAACTACTACTCCTCAGCAAGTATTTCAGCTATATTTTTATATATACAAAAAGATATCGCGCTGTGTTGTCAATCAAACATACGACATGTTTTCTTTTTTTCAAGTATAACTTTTTCACGAAATACCTGCCATCAACTACAAATGTTTGCTTTTCAACTTTGGTTTTGCATAATTTAACCCGTAAAATGTACAGTTATCAGTGGTTAAATTGTGTTCGAATGATTTATGTATATATATTATAAGACAAAAAATTATTTATTTGTAGCCTAAGAATATCATATCATATTTGGAAATTTGGGGGATTCTTTGATTTGTCCTAGAATTTTGTTTAAATCTAAAAACTACAAATATTGGTTAGAAATTGAGGGAGGCCAAAAAAGTTGAGTGATTTTGAAAAGTGGATTTTGTTATTATTCCTTCATGCATTGGAATTTCTTATAAAGTTAAAAAATGGACACCAATCCGGGAAAGATTGTAGTTGAAATTATAATTTCCTATGTTTACATGTTCCAATTTAAGTAAACAAAAAATATATCTGTTATAGATAATCATATAGATAGTACATATTTTGTAAGCAATCTAGAATTTGACATTAAATTTGAAAGTAGGTTAATTTATTCGAAATATATTTTCATACAATGTAAACACGCCAGTGTGAACGTAGTTTTCGTAGTTCCTAACCCTGATTAATACAAAAAAGTCCTAAAATTAAAAAATATGTAAATCATTGTCTTATAATGCAGATTAAATGTTGGCCCTCTACTTTAAGAAACGCCATAGTAGGGATATATAGATCGACTTTTGTTTGGACAGTTGCCTCAAATATTTTGTGAACCTAATTAACAACAATTGTTTTTCGAGTTATTAATATTTAAAAATTGATGGCAATCTTTAAATTACAACAACAAACAAATTAAGACACGCACTAGATTATCGTTTTGTTTCAATTGTCTTTTTTCGTAGATATGTTTAAACTTTTTGTTTTGGCAATGCTGTGAAAACCTTATAGGGATCTGTAAATCGATTTATACACCGTTTACCGTTTAGAAGATTACAGGTAGTCGCATCGACACAGCTGTTGAGACAATAAACCGTCAAACCAATATAGAAAATGAAAATTTTGAATTAAAAACTATTAAAATTCGTTAAAATTGTTGAAAAATACATATCATAACAACCTTAGATTGGTGGGTCATAAGGAAACAGATAATAATCTACTTATTTTTGAAAAAATAACATTTTAAAAATTTTGACATATTAATGTTCCCAAGCATTGCATCTACATGTATTCTTCTACCATGCCGTTTACTCTACTCTCGAAAATATTTTTAATAATAATGCTTTTTAATGTTAATAGTTAACTGAACTGAAAACAAAATAGAAGACTTCTATTGATATCTACAGATATTATGCCTCAATTTCAGCCAAAAATTGAAGCACAACATCTTTTTTTAAAATAAGGTGCAATTGTTGCAAATATAAAAATATGGCGATTTTTTTTTTTTAAGAAATGTTTAATAAAGGATTTTTTTCAGATTTTTTAACCTTCTAAGAGAAAATTTCATGGACCATCAATTCATTTATGCTGGGAATTAAATTGTGGAGTTTACCTATTCAATATTTATCTAGTGTGTACCGTGATGCCTCCTGATGAAAATACTGATTGTTTTGCAGTCTATTGTTATTTTCCAATGTGGCAATACTGTACTTAAGGTAGAGGGTCAATTGTTACATTGTGTTAGGAAGAAATAGAAATTTAACCTAGAAATAAGTGTAGACAAAAAGTTATTGAATTTAGAATATAAAAAAAAAACTTTAAGCTCGAATGAGTCTGAGATAAAACATTGTAATACTAGTCGCCAATCAATATTCGTGTCAGCCAAACACATTTTTTTTGAAAAGGTCAAACATCATTAGGACGTAAAGACAATAGGGCCAGTGGAGTCCACCATTAAGCTGTAAAAATTATTCAAAGGGTAAGATTTTTTTGAAATTTTTTTGGGATTTTCTCAACAAAACTTTTGCAGCCATTCAAAAATTTTGCTTGAAAATTCCTGTGAAATAACTTCTCAAAATCTTCACTTTATGATCTTTCTCATTTTCTTATGCGTTGTTTTCTTATATTGTATACATGTTTTTTTCTTGTTTTTCTTATAGACTAGACTACATTATTCCCTTTTTGTGTCAGATAAATTGTGCTATATAATTTTACATAGATTTCTTTAAGATTATGTCAAATTAGCTAAAACTATGTTTACATAGACATAATTAATTAATAATGATTCCTATGTCAAATAAATCATGCATATGTAAACATGGTTTAAATACTATCATTTACTAGTTAGATTATTAAAACATATATTTTTTCCTTATAAATTTGTATTTAATATGTTTTTAAGTAATATTCATAGGTTAGTTATATAGTTTAGAGTTGTTTTTTTAATAAAAATTGATTTTGTCAAAGAAGATTTTTATCCGGGGATTTTTGTTAGAAAAAAATCCCCTTCGCCATCAGAGCTCCATTCAAATTTGTAAACATAACTCAATGAATTTCTAAAACGGTTTTACATATTTTTTAAATTAGAAGCACCTATTTTTGAGAGCTAGTCTAGTGGGTCAGGATAGAAATGGAAATCTTGTTTTGTGAAAATTATTAAATTCTTTTATATATAAATTTTTTATTTCACATTTATATAAATCATGAATTAAGGCCCATTAGTGAGATTCTCTAACGAATTTTTTGAGTTACCGACAAACATCGGTAAAATTAAAACACAAAATTATAAATGAAAGTCCAAATTACAGTTGAAAACACTGTTGCTATCGGTAGGACTTAACGACTACATCTTTCTGGTTAGTAACTTGATGAAAAATGTCTTTATTTACCGAAATTAGGTCATTTTAATTTTACGGATTTTTATCGATAATTCGAAAGATAATCGTACCTTAAATATGGCCCCACATCAATTCATTGGCATCTCTGTGTCAATAATTTGTGTTGGCAATACCAATTTTATCTATTTAATCCTTTACAGATGGCAACAATTCGAATTCATGTGTTGGCCCTCTACCCTAAACAGATTTGCCAACACCTGAAACTAATTTTGACAGGGGAAATTTATTTTTTATTTTGGATTCAAAAAAATTTATTTTCAAATTAAGTTTTTGGCTCCGCATACTTTTTTCGTTACAATGAGTTCAAATCGGACACGTAATATTTGTAAGCTACATAAGATCCTCAATTGAGGTTTGCTCTCATAAAATATTCCCTTGTTTCAGTTACTTTGGGAGAATTTCATTCGATTCAAAATAAAAAAAAGGCACGCAAAACTGCAGATCTTTTCGAAAAGGATCCCTTCAAAATCCAGTCGTATAATTTTCGTTATGCTGAGCGGCCAAATTTTCCGCTAAAACCGAAATATTCTGAATCGCAACAAAGAGAGAAAACGAAATTTGACACGTTCTTTTATAATCAAGATTTTTCAAAGTCCTGCACAAACCGTGGGGCGAAGAACTTTACGAATTTTTATCAAAATCGTCGCAGAGAATATTTGCAAAATGTGGCACCCTATTACACCAGTTCGGTTTCTTCGAACAATACCACTATTCAAGCTCATACTTCTAATGTGGGAAAATCGAACTGGAATATGGAAAGTATTGCAGGTTCATCAGTGAGACCGCTGTTGAGATCTGTATTCGATTTCAAACGCTCTCATACGTCGCATAATTTAAATACAGCATCTGCCACCACTTCTGGCTTTGGATCTCGGACAGTTAATCCCTCTTTGTCAGTTCAATCAAATGAAAAAAGATCTCTGGGAACAACAAACAGCATAAATACTCAGAGAACAAGAAATCAACAAATGTTTACCAGGGATAACATTTCTCAGAGAACGGCATATAAACGATCCTACACGGAGAGCACTATGGAAGTCAAGAGAGATATAAATAGCTCGTTTAAGAAAGGAAGTAGCTCTATTTCCAATGTGGCTAGGAAATCTATTGACAATACAAATGGTATAGAAAATCCGGCTACACTTACTTCTCATGCATCTCGATTTGATCTGCCGCGGGGCACTTCGTTGAAACGTAAACTAAGTGTGGGTTCGGGTTGTGAGATAAACATCAATATCAAAAGTTTAAATGATGATTCTGTATCCGAAAACCTAACCATACAAATTGCCAGAGATCAAGGTTCAAAGTCTAATTTAAAAACTACGAATAAGGAGCACTCAAATATTCAACTAAACATAAACTCCTCTTCGAAGAGTTTTCTAATGGATAAATGTTTATCGAAATTTGACATTGAGAATCACAAGAAAACGAACTCCAAACCCCTGCTTTCCAAAAAGGAAGAACAAGCAAGTTGTTCTCAGTATTCGTTGAACAACAGAAGAGCAAAGAGTTCTTTGACACTTAACATTCAAAGAGAGAAGAAAAATAACGCGGAAAACTCACAAAATGGCGTTGCCAATCAAAAAGAAAACTCAAAGGAACGTTTAAAGATTTTGAACAGTATTTATGGTTCATCACAGCAAAAATTCGCCAGCAAACGTTCTTTGAGCTCTTGCGAGAGATTACCTTCAATACTAACATGGCAAAATAGCAGTGACTCCTCGAAAAAATCATCTGGAGGTAGTAATTTACTAAGTAATCAAGAAAGTGGAAATCAAAATTACTCCAGCATAAATCTCTGCGGTTCTCCCACCACAAGTAATAGTCCCATGACATCTCAATCTGCCAAATTAAATGTTAAAAATTTAATTTTACAAAAATTCCATAGTTTTAAAACGGCAAAGCGGCGTTGTCCATCTCGGCAACTTTACAACATATTGCCAACTGCGAGGAGACCACTAATGATACGGAATGGCCAACCTTGGAAAAAACGTCGCACATTTTGGTCGAAATTACCATTCAAGATCAATATAAATTTATTTGCCGAAAAAGTGAAATTAATGAAAGCTTAAAGTTTCGCCGGGCTTCACAATAACATCTATGCGGATTTACAATGAAGAAAAAAATGCCAAACACAAGCTTACATAAAAATATTGCTATAGATGCCCTCAACTTCTTTCACGGCAAGTTTATATATATTTTTTAAATGTCTGAGAGGTTTCGGTGAGAGATTCTATTTTTTTCACAGATGTAAATTTGTTCGAGACTTGCCATTAATTTTCTACAGATTTTAAATCGTCATAAATTTCACAAAATCCTTAAAGTTTTTGGGAGATTTAGACAGAACGTGAAACAGATTTGACGGTAAGTAGTTTTGTATATCACACAATACCAAAAGAACTATTTAAAATCTTTTTTTATAAAACATTCTTCAGTTTAAGATGGGATGTGTGGAGTTGGCAACACTCATATTCTATTTCCAGCCGAGTATCAATTATTGTTTGGATAAATGTCACATCTGAGAAACCTTTTCTTAAGCCGAAAACATATCCAACGTTTTCGTTTAACGCCGATGTGGGAAATACATCGCCATTATGACTTTTGGCAAGCAATATTGTTGTATTTTCACGTTTCGCGTTGCCAAAAGTTGAAACAGTGTTGTATTTTTCATGTCGACATCAAATGAAAGGTTGTATCTGTTGTAGGCTTTACATTACCATAATTTGACCACAAATTGCAAGGAAATATCTATTTTAAGTTCGTCTCTAAACAGCCTTCATGGTGTAAATTTAAGATGACTCGAATATTTTTGATCGTGTGGCTAAATAAATCGTGTAAACGTATTCAAATATTTGTTTTATGAAAACACCTACGGTAAGTAAAACTCTACATAATTATTTTCATCGTAGACACACGTTTACATTTAGGTCATTTAGATTTAACAGTTCAGTATTCTATTGTAATGATAAAATGCTTCAGTGTAAATATAGCCTAAGTCGTTGAGCGCACAATGCCTGTATTGGCCTTCTATCGTTTGACATATGTGCCAATAATAAATCCCTTGGATTTCTTCTGTCAATTCCATGGCTTATTGATAAAATCTAAACACGAATATAAAAGAGTCGGGTATTTTGACAATGCGGCTTGTCATTTTGACAATCAGCTGTAGTGGGATTCTCTAATGCATTTTTGATTTACCGACAAATGTCGGTAAAATTAAAACGCAAAGTTATGAAAGAAAAGTCAAAACAAAAGTTGGCAACTCTGTTGATGATGAAAAATGTCGTTAATTGCCGAATCGTTAATTTTACCGATTTTTGTCGTTAACTCGAAAAATGAATTTGAGAATCGCACTACTGGCCTTATCGGGAGACATTATAAATAGTATTTACCATGCATGTTTTTACCATTTGCCCGGTTATTGTATTTGGTGTTGCCAACTAATTATTAGCTCATATTCTTAGGTAAATTATACAGTGTTTAGATTCACATTGATTTATCTCAATTCCAATGGTTACTCTGATGGCTATCTTCTTTACTGGGAGTAGGAATCCACTTGAGCGAATTCCGTGAGAGAGAACTCTTAACACTACCTCTAGGGCGAGGTATAGAGTTCCGAAAAACAAGAGTTTTCATGTTAATTTAAATATTTTTTATATAATATTTTTTTTTGCTTTTTTTTACCACATAGTGCAAGTAACAAGGTGAGTATCGAAGGGGTTCATTTGTTGGGTTCCAAATATTTGTTTTTTTTTTTTCGTTTTTTTCTAAAGTATTTTTGCAATACCCGCATTTACGAACCATAAATAGATTTTTTTTGTAGTTTTTGTGGCTTTTTTAAGGCCAATTGCTGGGGAAAAATTTGTAAAAATTTTCCTTAGTATTTTTTTGAGATTTTTTCGTTTACGAACTTTAACAACAACAATTTGAAATAAAAATGTTTTTGTTTGTTTTTTTTTTTTCTGTTGTAAATATATAAATTTGTTTTGTATATCAACATCAAAAGCTTTTGAACCAAATTTTTAGTTTTGTTTTCAGAATAACGTACTTGTTTGTTTTTTTTTTTGTATAAGTTTTCATATGATATTGCTGATATTGTTGGTTGTATCATTCCATTGATTTTTTTTTGTAGTTTTTTTTTCTTCCAAATCATTTTTGCATTATTTTTTATCATTTCGTTGAAAATCGTAGTCCAGAGAAAGAGAGTAGCAATTAGTGAGAGCTCATTTATTCATCATCTTCGTAGTTTTGATATGTGACATAGCGTACGGCCGATCGTTCACCAACAATGAGAGACTGCAAAGAGAGAAAACAACAAAGGAATGAGATTTAATGTAGGGACACCTAGGTTCAATTCAGGAAATCTTCAATTGTATTGTAGGGACACCTAGGTTCAATTCAGGAAATCTTCAATTGTATTATAGGGACACTTAGGTGCAATTCAGGAAATCTTTAATTGTATTATAGGGACACTTAGGTTTAATTTAGGCCACATGAATTAGCGTTCCTTTAGGAAATCTTCAATTCAACCCAGTTGAATTTGATTTCTTGTGGGATAATTTCAATTGAGTCTATATAAGAATATCATTTTTTAGTGGTGTCCAAGAAAATGTGAAAACATGTGAATATGATAATAAGGAAAATAAGGAAATATGAAAATAAAAATCAAAATAAACAAAAAATCAGGCAAAAGTAATAGGTTTATTGGCTTAAAATCTTAGAGGGAAGACAAATTGTAAAATTAAACTAAATCGCAGTATTTTCTATAAGAAAATCTAAATTTGAAACATATGGAACATTATGCAAATACTGTATTGGAATTTCTCTTAACAATATTCCAATATTATTTTAAAAATTCACAAAAATATAATAAATCATACAAAATTTTATAAAAAATATAAACTTAAAAATAAATAAAGAAAAGATGATTAAAGTCTTTCACTTTCGGTGAAAGCTGGATTTGTGACACCGTCATTGATAATGGCAGGACTTGTAGCGTGTACAGTTGTAATCTCATTGGCCGCCGGGGCGTCAGCAATACTACCCACCTTCTTTTCCTCTCGTGTGGGTGGATTTTTGAGCAGCGTCAGCAACGGGGCATAGAGGAAGCAAATGATGGCAATGCCAAATAACATCCATTCGAAACCAATTGTCTTTACCAGGGTACCACTGAGCGCTGGGCCCACAGCGAAACCCAAACAGAAAGCCACATCGCCCAGAGCATAAACACTGCCATACACAGCTGAATGGCGAATATCTACCAAATAACCCAATTCCGGCATCATTGAAGAGTCCACCATGCCAATGGCAAAACCGAGGCCAGCATTGGGAATAATTAAATGGGTGATGGAGGTGGCCATGGGGATCTGAGGAAAAAATCAAAAATGTTTCAAAAAAAATATTGAAAATTATTGCCTTAATTCGGCCTCACCATTATCAAACAGCCACCAATGATGACCAGTCCCAAGCAAGCCGCAAACCAACGTCCAATTTTATGGCCCAAGGGTCCAAAGAGATTGGTACCAATCAAATAACTCACAGAAGCCGGCAAAAAGGCCACACCCTGTTCCCAGCGACTTGATCCCATGTTGTCCAACATCCACAAAGGCAAAGAGGGCTCCAACATGGCAATACCCATATTGGCAAAGGTTATGGAGCCTTAAGGAGATGCGATTTGAAAAAGTTAGGAAAATTCAAGGTATAAATTCCCATAGGAAATTTCCGATTCAACCTGGCTGAATAGGTGTTTCCATAGGAAATCTCCACTTCAGCCTGACTGAATAGGGGTCTCCATAGGAAATCTTCTAGTCAGCCTGGCTGAATAGGGGTTTTTCATGGGAAATCTCCTAGTCAGCCTGGCTGAATGGGGGTTTCCATAGGAAATCTCCTAATCAGCCTGACTGAATAGGGGTTTCCATGGGAAATCTCCGATTCAGCCTGGCTGAATAGAGATTTCCTTGGCAAATTTCCGATTTAGAATGGCTGAATAGAGGTTTCCGTAGGATATCTCCCATTCAACCTGGCTGAAATGGGGTTTTCCATTGGAAATCTTCGATTCAGTCTGGCTAAATAGGGATTTCCATAGGAAATCTCCTAGTCAGCATGGCTGAATAGGGGTTTCCATAGGAAATCTCCTAGTCAGCCTGGCTGAATAGGGGTTTCCATAGGAAATCTCCTAGTCAGCCTGGCTGAATAGGGGTTTCCATAGGAAATCTCCGACTCAATGTGGCTATATAAGGGTTTCCATAGGAAATCTCTCATTCAGCCAAGCCGAATAGGGGATTCCATAGAAAATCTCCAATTCCGCCTGGCTGAATATGGGCCAGCGGTTTCCAAAAGGAATCCTGAAAGTAGAATTTGAAATATTCCAATCTTACCAGCTGCAATCAAAATATAGGGATCTGAAATCAATGCCTTCAGCGTGGGTGGTTCCGTTTCAGCCTTTTCGATTGATGGTTGTAACATAAACAGTTGCAGCAGACCATCGCCCAGAGCCAGAACGGAGAGAACCAAAAACGGAGCCGATTTGCCAACAAATTCATACATCACCCCACCGAATGGTGGACCAATTAGGACACCCAAAGCCAAACCGCCCAAGGCTATGCCCATGGCATTGCCACGTTCTTTGTCATCGGTGAAACGATCGGCCAACATACCCATACCTGAGACACTGCTGCATGAGGAGCCAATGCCCTGTAAAGCGCGAGCAATGAACAGCACCGTATAGGAGCGGCCAAAGGCAAAGACTAGAGCGAGAGAGGGGGCAGAATGAGATTAAAGGGTTATGGAGAGGAAGGAGTTGGCAACACTTACTCAGCGTGGACACAAACATAATGACAAAGCCGGCAAACATGGGTATGCTGTAGCCAATTCTGCAAGAGAAAACAAGAGAGTGGGAGAAAGAGAGAGTGAGAGAGGCTTTAATTTTTTTTAAATTAACCCTACCTGTGAGTCAAGGGCCCCACAATGGGATTTACCAGCAGCTGCACAAAGGCCTTGGAGGCAAACAGCAAACCCACCTCCACCGTCTCACCCACCAGCTCCTGATGCCGCTCCTCCAGTTCACGATAAAGTGTTTCATTTTCTAAATTGCATTAAAAAAGTCATTTAAAATTATTTTGTTGCCACTCAGTGGCGCCCAACCAACCAACCACTTGTCGTTTTAATTGTCTATTAAATACTTACCCTCTGGACTCAATGTTGAAACCTCTACCATTGCAGAGACATCATCGCCATCCTTGCTGCATGGCGAGGGTGTGGGCGTTGGCGGCACATGAATGCTGAGTGGTGTTCGTGGATAGCTGTCCAAAGGAGCGTCTGGATGCCGTATGTCGTACAGGAACTCAGGTATAATAGGAACTGTAATAAAAAAGAAAAATTTTGCATGAAAGGATAACTTCATCAGCAAGAAAATTGTGGTAATTAAGTTGTTGTGCAAGGATTTTGAGGAAGTGGCAGGGTTTCCAAATCGCTTTTTTTCTGAGGAGAAATCAGAGGAGCCATGCAATAAGAGAAAAAGTTGCAAAAAGCTTTGAAGGAGGAACATGTGGAATATTTGTTAAAGTGTTACAATGAGAAACCTCCTTTTTTCCAGACTTCTCGAGAATATGGAACTCTTTCTAAGGGGTAAGAACAAAGGGAAGGACATTTTTAATTACTTTTGAAAAACAATGAACAAGGAACAAAGTCAATCAACAAGTGATGTTAGGACCACCTAATGTCCTGAAAAGGTATATGAGAAGGAAAATATCCTTCTCAGGACCTTTGGTCCTTCACAGGATATTATCAACACCTCCCCACCAGAAATTTCAAAACAAAATCTAAAAACGTTTCACTTCCTTTTTTCTAATTCTGGCCCCACCACATTGCATGCTAATCGCTTTTGCCAGGACTACCACAAAAGGATATCCTGTCCATAAACACACCACACACCGTACACACACCGCTAGTTGTCATGTAAACATTGTTTACAAATTCAATTTTACAGTTCAAAATCAACTTCAATTTTTAAGGACTTTTGAGTGCCAGGAAGCACCCAGCCACACAGCAGAACAACAGCCATGGTGAGTGTTATCCTTTGGAGTGTTGCATGCCTGCGGCTAGGCCACTGAACGAACACTTTATAATTGCTTTGGCATAATATTGCGGCCATATTTAGACAGTTATCCACACACAAACAAGGACTAACGGAAATGACTCTATTAGGCTAGCAATGTTATGGCAGATGGGTATAGCTGGTGGCCTCCTAGGAGCAATTATTTGAAAGCATTTGATTATCAGCGAACAACTGTTAAAAGGATGGGTGATTCCATGAAAAATGGGGAATGCAGCCTGAATAAGTGGGGGTTTTATGGGAAAGCTGCCTTTCAAACCCGGCTCGTGTGGGAGTTGCCATAGCCAAGCTGCCCTTTAGCCTGGCTGGCTCAATTAAAGGAGTTGCCACAGGCAAGCTGGACATTCAGCTTGCCTGGCTGAATTCGAGTTGTCATAAGAAAGTTGGCCATTCGATCTGGCCAATTTCGAGTTGCCATATACAATCTTACCCTTCAGCCTGGCTGAATGGGAGTTGCCAAAAGCAAACTGGCCGTTCAGCTTGCCTGGCTGAATTCAAGTTGCAATAGGAAAGTTGGCCATTCAGCTTGGCCAATTTCGAGTTGCACTTCAGCCTGCCTGAATGGGAGTTGCCATAGGCAAGCTTCACTTCAGCCTGGCTAAATAGGGGTTGTCATAGGTAAGCTGGCTGAATAAGAGTTGCCATGGGCAAGTTGGCCATTCAGCCCGGCTCTTTGGGTTGAGTTACCATAGGCAAGCTGGCCAATCATCCATGGTTGAATAAGAGTTGCCTGGCCGATCGCGAGTTGCCATAGGTAAGCTGGCCCTTCAGCCTGGCTGATCGCGAGTTGCCATAGCCAAGCTGGCCCTTCAGCCTGGCTGAATACGAGTTGCCATGGGCAAGTTGGCCATTCAGCCTGACTCTTTGGGTTGAGTTGCCATAGGCAAGCTGCCAATCATCCATATCTGAATAAGAGTTGAATCGCGAGTTGCCATAGCCAAGCTGCCCTTTAGCCTGGCTAAAAAAGAGTTGCTAGAGGCAATCCTGTTCTAAATGGGTGTTGCCATAACCAAGCTGGCCATTCAGCCTAACTCAATTAAGGGATTTGCCATAGGCAAGTTGGGCATTCAGCCTGGATGGAATTGAAGTTGCCACAGGCAAGCTGGCCATTTAGGCAGGCTGAATACAAGTTGCCATATGAATGGGCGTTGCCATAGGCAAGCTGGCCATTCAGCCAGGCTGAATAAGAATTGCCATGGGCGAGTTGGCCATTCAGCCTGGCTCTTTGAGTTACCATAGGAAAGCTGGCTAATCATCCATGGTTGAATAAGAGTTGCCTGGCTGATCGTGAGTTGCAATAGCCAAGCTGGCCCTTCAGCCTGGCTGAATATGAGTTGCCATAGGCATGTTGTACTTCAGCCTGGCTGAATACGAGTTGCCATAGGCATGTTGTACTTCAGCCTGGCTGAATACGAGTTGCCATAGGCAAGTCGCACTTCAGCCTGGCTGATCGCGAGTTGCCAAAGGAAAGCTGCCTTTATCCTGGCTGAATACGAGTTGCCAAAGGAAATCTGCCTTTAACCTGGCTGAAAACGAGTTGGTATAAGCAAGTTGTACTTCAGCCTGGCGGAATACGAGTTGCCAATGGCAAGTTACACTTCAGGTTGTCTAAATTAAAACTTTCATAGGATTTTTTCGATTAGCTGAATTAAAGTTCAGCCTTTCGGAATTAGAATCTAGGCCTCATAAATGTTCTTGCAAGTCATAAATTTTAATTATTTTTATGGATATGGAAATATGGACATGTTTTGGTTTCATGTCGAGTTGTCATATGCGGAATATTAGCCAACATAACAATGAGCAAAAACATAATTTAATTTATAAACTATGCAAATAACAACATGCATACGTGTATGGCGTATCCCTCCTACCCTTTGATTGTATCGTGGCATTGGCGTCTTTCACAAAATCCCAGGTCTCCTGGGATTAAATGCCAACCAAATCCCTTTTCTTGCTACCTCTCTGTCCTCTAAGATATTCCATAGCCAAACTTTGCGTGTAAAAGACACTTTTAACCACAAGGCGGCTGGTAGACTTGGGTAGGGCGGTGGAAAACCATCAAAAAGTTTTCTGTGAAAGTAGATGAGGGGGGGTGGGGGTAGTGATTGTTTTTGGTCGCCAAGAAACCAACGGCAGATTTGTTTGCCCTGTAATGACATTCGCCAGCACCAAAACATTTGCGACATGCACATCCTGACGGATGCCGGTTGGCAGAAGTACGTACGTACGGCTGAGAGATTGGGATTGATTAATTTTCCAAAAAACTTTTTTATTGGGAATTGCCGAACGCAGATATCATGAAAGCCTCAACAATTTGGGAGTCAGCCAGTCGTCCATTGTTTGTACGCACCGTTTGGCTGGAGGGCACAGAGCTGAGACCCGGTCTGCAAAGGCATTTCCTACTGGATTATGTAACCAAGAGGCCGTTTGAGAGATTGAATTCCGCCACAGATCCCACAAGTCAGAGGAGGAGGAGAAGTGAGTATTTATCATTTCCGAAAGTGCGTGGTTCCATAGAATAATTTTTCTCTTTCTATTCCTCCCAGATACCCTAAAATCCTCCTATTCCTGGGACCTTCCAGACTACGAGGACCAATTCGCCAGTGATGAGGATATTTTTCTCATTGATTCGGCAAAACTGAAACTCCATGAACCGAGAAAACAAAGTCTGATAAAAAGTGCTAACAAATTATCCTCCTCATCCAGCAAACCTCGTAGATCCTCGGTGCTCTCAAGGAAATATCAAAGTTACGACAGCTATCACAGTAAATCTGCCAATCACTTACGGAGAACATCCGAATTTTCCGATTTCTATTCAAGGCGAAGCTCGTTGCAGGACTTCAATAACGACAAGGTCTCAACACTTGATGAAAAACTGGCAGAGAGGGTGTTAAATTGGCTAGACTTGGCGGGTAATGAGGATTTTGTGAAAAATCTGCAGGACTACAGCAATGATATGGAGGTGAAGCTAACCAAGACTTCGAAACTCCGCAGAGATTCCATTAGGAAGACTCAGAACGGCAGGAATAACAATAACACCTGCCCAACTCTACTACACCCAAACCCCAAAACAAAATCCGCGAAAATAAAACCTCACATTCCGGAGAACATTTCCCCCAAAACCTCCGGAGAACCGGTGAAACACATCACCATCATTTTCAACAAGGAAGGGCAGCCCATACGCTTTAATCGCCCGGCCAAAAACATTGATTTGTGTGCCCTCTCGGCCAGTCCCAGTACCACAAGGCGTTTGGCCGGAAGCCTGGCCTCTGCTAGACTCTACAAATCAGCTGACAATTCTCGTCTAAATTCGGAACGTTCTCGCACGGCTAAGTCGAGGAATATGGATCAGGCCTATTCGGCACGACGCAGATTGGATACTGTTGCCGATCTAACCAATTCGAATTTACAAAAAAGGCTTAAAGATAATTCGTTGATGGGGAGTTATAACAGCTTACATGATTCCAAGAAACAATTGCATATCTTTATGCCCACCCTGCCCAAAAAGGGGGTGTCAATCGGAGGATGTACCGCAGAGGATGGTGTCAGTGAATTGAGTCATAATTTAAATGAATTTTGTAAGGTTTAGAGGAAAGCGAATAAAGAAGAGTAAATAGTCAAAATTCCAAAGTATCAACATTTTCCGATTATTTTTCCGGACTGAATTGAAGTTATCTTGTGAAAAACTCCATTGGGGCGGGCTAATTTGAAGTTATCCCATAGAAAATCCCATTAGCCAGGCTGAATTGCAGTTTTTCCTATGGAAAACACCCATGGTACTTAAAATTATGAATAAATGACAAGAAATAATTTGCGAATATGGCAACGCTAATTATGAGAAATGGTCAGCCCAAACATTGCTCAAAAACTCCGTGAGGAATTTCTCTACTTTTCCATCTCCTCTATAATTTTCTCAAGAGATTATTTCTCCAATCATGAATAATTGAGGGGAATAGTATGGCAACGCTTTTGGATCTTTTTCGTACCTTGTGTAACCTATTTTTTGTGCAAATAGGACTTTAAAGTCTTGCGTTTTTATAAAAAAAATTAGGCACCTTTAACCAACAAATCTTCAGTATTAGGATCCCAATATATATGCTCCATTTTGGTTAATCCATAAACAACATTGAAGTTTGAAAATACGATCCTGAACGGCCAATAGTTTTTGGTCACGTTTTAATTCAATTATTAAAATAAAATGTAAAAAGCACTTTCCAATAATTTTTCCGGGCTGAATTGATGTCCTCCTTTGGAAAACCTCATGCAGCCGGGCTAAATTTTATTTCTACCATGGAAAATCCCATTCAATCCCATTTATAGATTTTACTATGAAAAATACAAATGATAACTTCAATTATGAATAAAAGACAAGAAATAATTTGCGAGTATGGCAACGCCAATTATGATAAATTGTCAGCCCCAATATTGCTCAAAAATTCCGTGAGAAATTTCTGTCTTTTTTCCATTTCTGCTATAATTTTTCTCGAGAGATTATTGCTCCAAACACGAATAATTGAGGAGAATTAATTTATGAGTTTGGCAACACCAATGTGTGTTTTTCGTACCTTGAGTACCCTATTTCTTGTGTAAATAGGTGCGAAAATCTTGTAGTTTTAATAAAAACTGAACCTCTTAAACCAACAAATTTTCAATATAGGGATTGGAATATATGTGTTCTACGATCCGATATGACCAAAGTTTTTGGTCGCTTTTTTAATTCAATTACTGAAATAAAATGCAAAAAGCATTATTAATAATTTTTCCGGGTTGAATTGATGTTCGCCTATGGAAAACCCATTTAGCAGGGCTGATACCTCCAATTATAAATGTCAAGAAATTATTTGCGAGAATGGCAAATATTGCTCAACAGTTTCATAGAGGATTTTTGGTCGCTTTTTTAATTCAATCACTGAAATAAAAAGCAAAAAGCATTTTCAATAATTTTTCCGGGTTGAATTGATGTTCGCCTATGGAAAACCCCATTTAACCGGGCTGATACCTCCAATTATAAATAAATGACAAATGCTCTTTTTTCCCATTTTTATATTGTTTTTCTCAAGACATCATTCCTCTAATCAGGAATAATTGAGGAGAAATAATATACGAGTATGGCAATGCTAATGGGTCTTTTTCGTAACTTGTGTAACCTATTTATTGTGTAAATGAGTGCGAATATGAAATGCTTGTTTTTAATAAAAACTCGGCATCTTAACCCAACAAATTTTCAATATTAGGATTCGAATATAAGTTTCCTTTGTTTTGATAAGTCTGTGGGCAACATTGAAGCCTAAAAACGGACAATTTCATAAATTTTTCAAATTATTCCAGCCTGAACTGTCTACCTGCTTCTTTCTAAGAGAGTAAGGTAGTTTTATTCTCTTTTATAAGAAAACAGTGAAAAGTAAACAAAAGGAATACCTGCAAGCAATCAGCTGATCTATCAAAACGAAACAATTTGTCCGCCATAACAACAAAAATGAGGTCCGCAAAAAAATATGAAGTAAAAAAGCAGCTAAGTTCGGCCGGGCCGAATTGAAGGATTTTTTAAAATTTTCAAAAAAAAAAAATCCGTCGAAAAATACCAGTTAAACAGAAACCATTAAATAGGGGAAGACGTCGACCTGCATAAGTAATTTTTCGTCATAGGCTGTGAAAGACTCTCAGTGAAAGAGCTTTTAAAATTTCTCTCTCGTATCGCTCTCTTTTCCAGAACTTTTCTGTTAACACACGACTTCTTGTAAATATTTACAACAACAGAGTTTGGCTTGCTTGTTTGGGAAAACAACAATAATGGGATTTCGCCTGACGATTTTGCAACAACAAAATACTATGGTATCCCAAACAAGCAAGCCAAACTCTGTTCTATTAATAGACACAGGCACGGTCGACGAAGGGTTTTTGTTGTAACAGACAAAACAAACTTACATGGTTATGTTACTTCGTTCAGGTTGAACGAAAGCATAACAAAGTGGAGAAAGATGTAAATGTTTATAAGTGCGGTTGTAAGATTTAGAAGATTTTCCAAAAGAATTTTAGTTTTATGTGATTCTTTTGTTCCTCTTCTATTGAGCTTACGATCTCGTCACTTGGGTAAAAAAATGTTTTTTGTCATAGAAGTTATTTTTTTAAATAACTTCTGGGGAGAATATCCCAGACAAGAAACAAGGGAACTGATGAGGATTGGTGGCTCTTTCCGAAACCTAGGTATTCCCTGCCTTACCCCCTGGTAAACATTACCATCGTTCTCCACTCATAAACAAACGTTGTTTTTATAAAAACAACAATAATGGGATTTCGCCTGACGATTTTGCAACAACAATTTACAACAACTTTAAAAAATGTTCGGGTAATTAAACACACCTAATGTTAATAAGTAATTAAAAATATGGTATCAATTATTGTAGTCCTCCAGGGAAAACTATGACCAAAGATAATTACTCACGAATTTATTTAAGTTTGAAAATTTTCAATTATTCCAAGAGTCAGTCATTAGGAAACCATCAAACCGACCAGTTTTTGCTGACGGGAACCAACAATGAAACTCTTTAGTACCCCGCGAAATTTGCCAGAGGCATATGGCATTTGCATACTGCTGATACGCGTTGCCGGACTCTTTCCATTCCAGTTCGATGAGGCCAAGAATAAGTTTCTCATCTCTTGGAAAGGTCTCACCTATACCATTCTGCATTTGCTGATTTTCACCTATGTCAATATTACATCAATTTTCGAGAGTTGGCAAGATTTCTCCCAGCCGATGGCAGGCAATTCCTCCCTCTCAGCCCTTGGAAATCTGATCTTACGTTTGCTGAGCATTTTCATAACATTTGTCATCATTACACCCCTGCTCTTTGGCAGTCTGGAAGAGGTGTCATCCATTAATGTTTTCCTCAAGCTAATCGAGGAGTTCACTCTGCTGGGCATTGATGTCACAAGGATCTATCGCCGAGTTTATTTGATGACTTTTTGTACGACTACAGTGTTTTTTGCTTTAGTCCTCTTTACGGCATGGCATTCGATTTATTTCTATGAGGTGATAACCCACAAATCACCGGAATTGAAATTTTATCTGGTGGCAACACTGTCGACATTTTATCAGTTGCTTTATTTGACATATGCCGCCGCTCAGTTGTATGGCGTCTATGCCATTTCATCGGAGTTCAATCAATATCTGGGAGAGTTGAGAGACATACACAAGGATCTGTATGAGAAGCAGAGAACTGTGCAATTTGAATGGATGAGTACACCGATTAAGGCCTATTGAGAAACACTTAAAAGTATGCGGGAGACCAATAATTTGAGTTAAGAAATATGTATTTATTAGAAAAAAAAAAACTCTTAGCACTTAATAAGGAAGCAAATACAATATTTTACAAATTTTCTTGAGGCCTTCACATATTCACAATAAAATGTTAATAAAATCTAGATTTTGTTTTTTATCTAATTATTTTAATAAGTCCATTGGATAAAGGTTTCATCCTCTTCTGAGAAAGTTTTACAACTTCCAAACTTTATTTTTGTTCATTCTCAGCTTCCACTTCCTCCTCCGCATGTCCTGCACTGACCTCCCCACCGTCTTCTTCATCCGTTGTCTGGCTCTTGGCACTCTCATTAGACGGTGTTCGTCCAAAGGGAAAGAAAGCATTGGCCTGTCGTTGCAGCACTTCTCGATTGATGGTCTTCTCCAGGATTTGTTGGTTAATTATCGAAGCGTAACGTTGTTCAAAACTGCGCTGCTGCTTCAAACGCTGTAAATGTTGCACTTGTGTTGTGGGATTTCCTGCAGTACAATCCCCAGTCTGTCCCGTTGCAATATCTAACGAATCATTGGAAGTCATTTTTGGCCGGAAAAAATCGCTTAGTCACTGGGTTAATGGGAACAATTTTTTTATTTTTAAAAATTCACTCTGCGTTTAGAACAACCGTTTCAGCTGACAGCAGGACTTGAAATGAGCTGCTTTATTTTGAGTTTTAATAAAGTGCTGTTGTTGTTGTTTTTGATCCTTCTGTCAGACAATGTTTGCGTTTTGTTTTATTTTTGTCTCTATATGTGTATCAGACTGTCGCTATTTTTGGAGTCTTCTTTTCTTGGTTGGGGGTTTAGTTGTTGAAAAGGTATTTCCTTAGTTTTGATTTCTTGTCGCCAACAACAACAAACTTATGACTATGGGGAATACACAGCCAGAAATTGTCCGTCCAATTATGAATTAAAATTTCCTTAAGAAATTTTCTCTCTATTCCTTTTTTTCTCGAGATCATTCCCCTAATCATAAATAATTGAGGAAAAACAATTTGTGTAGTTGGCAACGCCATTGGGCGTTTTTCGTACCTTGTGTTTCCTATTTGTAGTACAAAGTTAATGTGATTTGTTTCTTATAGAAGTTAAGCAACTTTAATGAATAAATTAACTATGTTGGGATTTGAATAAATGTTTTGGACTTGGATAAATCTGTTGTGCAGCTATACGCGGAATTCTACTCCCACAAAAAGTATTTTTCTCGGGAGAAATTTCATCAAAGCTGAATACTTGAGGAGAACAATTGTGGTCCTTTTTCATACCTTGTTTGCCCTATTTGTTGTACAAATTGGTGCAAATGAGAGGTGCTCTGTTTTTGAATCCTCCACCATAGTATGGAGGGTATATTGCGTTTGTCATTCCGTTTGTAACACCTCAAAATATACATTTTAGACCCCACAAAGTATATATTCCTGATCAGCATAAAATGCCATGTCGATTTAGCGATGTCCGTCCGTCTGAGGAAATCACTCTAGCTTCCGAACGAAATGAAGTAGGTTGATAAAATTTTACTCAGATGTGTCTTTGGTCAGCAGGACTTTTGGTAATGGAAATGGGCTATTTAGGTCAACGTTTAGATATAGTCCCCATATAACGGTACCTCCCAATATTCGGTATTTTGTTGTTTTTTGCGACATTATTCACCGGAATTGTTTCAAATTTGGTATTTGAAGTTCGTAATAGATACTCCAGCCTATGACAGAAAATTGCCTATGCAGGTACAGGTCATCGTATAGCCCCCATATAACAGTACCTTCCTAAATTCGTTATTTTGATGATTTCAGCGACATTATTCACCGGAATTGTTTCAAATTTGGTATTTGAGCTTACTAATGGATACTAGCCTGCGACACAAAATGTTTGAGGTTTTAGCAGAATTTTTTACGGATCCATTTTTTTTTTGTTTTTTGAAAATTTTCAAATTCGTTACAAATACGACCGAAGTTATTTCTTTTTAACTAGTTTGCAACCATTTTTCTCGAATTATCATACCCCTAATCATGACTAATTAAAGGAAAATAATTTACGACCATGGCAGCGCTATTAGGTCTATTTCGTACCTTGTGTATCCTATTTCTAGTACAAATTTGAAGTGATTTTTTTCTTATAAAAATTAACCAACTTAAAAGAGCAGTTCTGTTCAGGAACTTCGACAATGGTAACATTTTTACAACCATAATCAATTTTGCCTTTATTGTATCGAAAAATTTTCAGGTTCTGGAAGAGAGCATATATTAATATTCGTATAAATTAAGATTGGACTCTGAAGCAGCTATCCTCGGAAATAAATTGCCATGGCAAATATTTTTCTCAAGAGATCTTTCATCCAATCATGAATGATTGAGGGGAAATTATTTGAGAATATGGCAACGCTGATGGGTCTTTTTCGTAACTTGTGTATCCTATTTGTTGTACAACTTGGTGAAAATGTAAAGTGATTTTTTTTTGAAATAAGAAATTTGCCCTTCAGATCGTGCTTCCAGTCTTCTGTGTTCCTCATAATAGTATTTTACATCCAACACATATATTCGAATACTAATATTGTTAAATAGTCGGTTTTAGTTGCTTAATTTGAACAAAAAAATCAACTCCAATTTTCACTTTAAATAGGTTACACAAGGTACGAAAGAGACCCTTTATCGTTGCAACCTTCGCAAATTATTTCTCCTCAATTGTTCATGATTTGAGGAATGATCTCTCTAGAGAAAAACTGTCCATGAGCATAGAAAAATGGAGAAAACATCAGCTGAAAAAGTTCTCGTTTAGGTAATCTCAAACTCAACCCGACTGAATTAAGTTATCCATATTAAAACTTCATTTCATCTTGGCACGATTTTTTCCAAGTGTACCCATTTTCTTAGACTCCTGGCAAAAGGTCACGCAACTTTTGTGCGCCTTTGAAATTGTCTTCTTGTAGTTTTTTTTTATTCCAAACGTGAAACAATGATTCATTGTTTTCATGTTGTTATAGTTGTTCTTGTAACTCATGATGACGAGATTGTTTGTTTGTTTTTGGAGAATTGCTCAAGCAACAGCCAGTTTACACAAGCCAACCCCCACCAAATTCTTCCTTCCTTCCACACAAGAAATTGACAATGAAAATCAACAAATGTCAAGCAATTTGCCAACTCCAGCTAGCTTAACATTTGCATGTCAATTATTTTTAAACCACTTTTGACGGCTTCTTTAGATAGCAGAGAAAGAAAGAGAGGCCTATTTTAAGGCTATTTAATAGCTCATAAGGTCACATTTCACTGCAGTTTTACGAAAATCGTCAAGAAAAATTCAATATTTTCAGATTACAGGCGGGGAGGGAGGACAAACTTTAATTAGTTCGTGGAGTTATGGCAGAAAGCATTCACAAATGACTTCATAACATGAACTATGAATCTCTTTTTTGGTGGCTGATGTCCTTCTTGGCTGCAAGAATTTTGATTATGACGCAGTTTTCTTTTGAGGTTCCTCAAGTTATTAAAGTAAAAGACAAACATTTTGAAATAATTGTCATTAAAAGTTAGTTTTCAGCATGACATAGTGGAGCGTTTGGGAAAATGCTGCAAATCATTGCTCAATTGCCTTTTTTTACGGTGTGGTATTGCAGTTGTTTGGTGGCACTTTGTAGGGCATATTAACCCATTGGGGAGCGATTTAACGACAGAAGGTCCAATATTGATTAACTGAGAACGGAATCACAACCGCATAGTTTGATTGTTGATTTTGATGATAATCTATCCGGCTCGAAGGACCAACATAAAAATGAAAATGGATACATAACCCTATAGGCGGCGTACATAAGCAGCTTGGCTTCATGGCTAGGCATATTAATGTCAAATTATAAAGATGAGAATATATAAAACGCTTTTTTGACTGGCCTAAGTCTGCGGCTGGCTTCTGCGGAGAATAGCAAAGGAGCGTAGGGCCAAAATCGAACTTAGGCAACCTAAAACTCCTTTGTTCTTCTACGACGAAGCCAGCCGATGACTACTTAAGCCAGTCAAAAAAAGCGTTGTATGTATTCTCACCTTAAGGAAAACGGCGCCTGGATTTGAGAGCGGCTCTATCATCCCTTTATGATATGTCACAAAATATGCCATGAGAAGACTTCAAGCTGCTTATATATTCACGCCGTATGGTTTGATTGTTGATTCGATTCTGATTTTATTTAAAGGTATTTTTCTTAAGTACCACAAAAACTAATCTAACTTAACCTAATAGCAATCACACAATTATTCGTATAATAAGATGAGAATACATAAAACGCTTTTTTGGCTGGCTTAAGTCATCGGCTAGCTTCTTCGGAAGAAAGAACAAAGGATCGTAGGGCCAAAATTGAACTAAGTCAACCTAAAACTTCTTTATTTCTCTACGAAGAAGCCAGCCGATGACTACTTAAGCCAGTCAAAAAATTGTTGTATGTATTCTCACCTTATGAAAAAACGGCGCCTGTATTTGAGAGCGGCCCTGCCATCCCTTTATGATAAGTCACAAAATATGCCATGCGAAGACTTCAAGCTGCTTATATATTCACGCCGTATGGTTTGATTGTTGATTCGATTCTGATTTTATTTGAAAATATGTTTCTTAAATACCACAAAAACTGATCTAACTTAACCTAATAGCAATCACACAATTATTCACATCTATTCTAAAGGTGAGAATACATAAAACGCTTTTTTGACTGGCTTAAAAAACCGGCTCACTTCTTCGGAAGAAAGAGCAAAGGAGCGTTGGACCAAAATCGAACTAAGTCAACCTAAAACACCTGTTAAAACTTGTTTATCTACGAAGAAGCCAGCTGATAACTTAAGCCAGTCAAAAAAGCTTTTTATGTACTCTCACCTTAATTTTGAATGGAGAACATTGCAGGACTGCTTGTCCCTTCATGCAAGTGGTCTTGGCTACCGGTTGAACGCATTGATGTCCTATCGACAATCACTGAATTGTACACATGCGATATTTTCAGTATTTTACAACATTTATTTTTAATTGCTAGATTTTCCCAGTGCCTCAACCGCACTCAAACGTATTTTCAAAGTATTTGGTAAATATTTCTTTTAGAAACCCAAAATCGAGCTGATTTAAGATTTCCCAAGGAAACCTAATTCAGCTGACACCAATGCCACATTTCTGGATCTTAGAGGAATAATCTATGTCTTAAATGTGTTGACGTGTTTATAATTATTCAACTAACTTCTCAGCGGAGTAGAGTATCTCCACACGCTCGAATGTTGTAATATGGTGTTTTGCTATTAATAAAATCTAAATGCTAACAGGCAAGGCCAAAGGTTAATGGATTAATCGATAGATGGTGAGAACATTTTGCTCGAAAATTATAGCAAGACTTATCACTTTCCAGGTGATGTTTTGTAGAACTTTTGATAATGTATTGTAATGTTCGAAGCGTTGTCTTATTGGGTCGTAATCATGAAAAAATGTCGGAGTAATAATTTACAACGATGGCAATGCGAATGGGTCATTTTCGTACCTATTGTATCCTATTTATTGTACAAATTTGTATACTTTTCTAGTTTTGCAAGAGGGCTTTTCCTGGGGGAAAATACAATTTTGAAAGTGATCATAATATCTAAGTATTCCCTCGTAATTATTTTCCGAGAGGAATTTTAGTGTTTAAAAGCAAAATAGGAAAAAGGAGAAAAAATCCATACGGAATTGTTATTCTTCATTGGGCTGGTAGTGTGTTTTGCTTTTGGTATATCTAGCCTTATTTGCACCCGTTAAAAGCAAAATTCGTCATTTATTTTAATTAAAATCAAAGAAATTATACATCTAAATTACGCGGTTATTTTTTTCTCGAAAGA